TAGCATAGTTAGCTTAGCTACAGACTACTGTTTACCTCCATTTCTCTAGCATTTAATGAACGAAAGGAAAAAAATTACCAACATATCCATATATTTAACTTGTACTTGTACCTTTTACTACACTCGAAACAGACGAAATCCTTTTTGCGCGATCCTAAGGCCACCAAAATGGATCCCATCAACACCTTGACGGCTCCTAGAAATTTGTGACAAAGGGCAACCTTTGGAGAGTTCAACTCTCACTGGATATTACTCTTTTTATGTTTCTCCAATCCGAACGGTTTGCAAATTCAACTTTTCCAGAAATTAGTGCTACCTTTTGTGAGGACAATTTACATTGGTCAATAACCCCAATTTACATGATTTTGGAAATCTAGAGGGAACCGGAGCACCCAGAGAAAACCCCCACTAACACTGGGAGAACAAACAAACTCTCACAAAAAGAGACGCTTGGTTAAGAACTAAAATCTCTTTTCTGTGAAGATGCTGCCCATTTTTTTGGTCTAAAACATGAGATGTGTTTTGACGTCTTGGAAACGGTTCAGAACTTACCTGGACACTTTTTGCTAGTTGCTTGTTTTAGAGGTTTTCTTGCTTCTCTTCAGTTTTTGTTGCTTCTTGAGGCTCAAAGTGTGTCACATCGTTTTCCACACTGAAGATGTTTCTTCAGACACTCCTCCAATGGTTCAGGATCTTGGCTTTCCCTTTTCTCTGACAGAGTTTCCACACACAGGTCTGTCACTTCCATGGCTTCGGGATCAAGGATGCTTGAATCTCTCAGCATCTTGTTTTCAAAGTCATTCAGCTCATTGGGAGATTCATCAGGAAATTCAATATTCTCTAATAGATGTTCCAGATCCATGGATGCAGGGTCATAAATGGTTTTTACAGGGATAGTGTAGTTTTCCCCGTTTGGTTCTTGATGCCCGGCCACTTTTCTTCTTGAAGGTCCTAGTTCATCTCTGTCTTGGAGCTCCATTTTCAGATTTTCCAGCTCTGTTTTATAATTAACCCCACAGCTACAGTACCATTGTTGGAGGACAGTGAGTTGTCCTTCTTGGCTCCAAGTTCACTGATAATCTTTTGGTCCCTCATCATTTTCAGTGAGTGAGCTTTCATCTCTTTATCTACCTCCTGCTTAAATATTTCTGCTTGCTGTCTTAAAGCAGAAACATCTCCTTCATATGTAATTTTAAGTTCCTGGTAAGAAACTTTAGCCTGCTCCAGTTCACTTTGGAGATGTTTTATGGTCTCTGGATTGCTGCTGCAGGAAAGAGAACTCTAGTGCCATTTTCTGATGCAGATTGTTCTTTTCAGCTCTAAGTACATTGATAAGATGATGGTCATTCTTGGCTCTTTCCAAATTAGCTTCTTTCTCACAATTCACCTCATACTGATAAACTTCTGTTTCTCTCACAGGGCAGAAACATCTGCTTCATTCCTCCTGTTTAATTCTTGGTATGAAATCTTAAACAGCACCAGCTCTGCAGACGGTTCTCTGTTTCCTGCAGGCAGGCAATCTCCTTGGACATTTTTTCTTGGAGATCGTCCTTCTCAGCTCTCAGGTTTTAAAGGAGTTTTTGCTCTTGCTTGATTTTTTCTTCATAAAACATCTGCATGTCGACCTGCAGGTTCCCCTCACCTGCAGCTTCATGTTTCCATTGAAGCTCCTCGTAGCGAGTCTTGATTTGGTCCAGCTCTTGTTGGAGGACGTCACTTTTCTCTTTTTCTGCCTGGATTTGTAACCTGAATGCTTCCTCACCAACAATATGAGCTACCTTCAATTGCTCAAATTCCTTCTGCAGCAGCCTTTTCGTCTTGTGTTTTATGTCGCTGTGCACCCTGGAAGCGATTATAGCTCGT